CTCAGGCTGTTAAATGCTCAGTTCATTGTCATGAGTTCTGCAGGCTGCATCTAGGGCCAGGTCAGCTAGATTGCAGAGTCTGCCGGCAGGATGAATATTGCTAGTAGCATGATATGCTCAGCCGTAATCTTAATCATAACATTTTCCGAGGCTTACTGTTCGGACATGTCCCTGAATGTCCTGTATGTTTTTAGATACACACCACATAATCAACATTCACACACATTATTTTCTTCATGTTTTGACTACTGCTCTGGTCAGCTGCAAAGCTGGCATATCAGGTGACGTCACGGTTTGACGTTGCCCGCGTAGGATGGGGCTAGCCCAACGAAGTGATTAAATTGTATAGGCTATTAGGTTCGGGGTCTTTCTTCTTCCGGGCTGCCTGCGAGCAGCTTTTGGGGTGGAAGATGCCTGGACGTGTAATGTTAATTCTTGCCTGTGACCCTTTGAATAAACCAGCACGGTTATATTTTTTTATATACTCAAGTGGTCCGCTTCGTCCCTCTGAGTTCCTGGTTTGAAAGAACCGAACATGGCTTTATAATAGAATAGAGCCTTTAAGAGTAAGTCTGTCAGGCAAAGCAGGGACAGTGAGTGAGGTGGGAAAGTGTAGAAAAGAAGAAACTTAACGCAGGAAGGATTATATTCATGCCAAGAGCAACGTATAATGTGCTTTCATCTCCACAAAATCTTAGTAAATGGAAAAGCAAAGAGCCTATTGTCTCCCATTTGACCAGAATTCACAAAATCAATTTTCATATATACAGTATGTTGTGGTTATCTGGAGATTTACCTGCACACAATTAGAGCAAAATCTGGTATTCTTTTGGAGATTAACATTTACCTTGGCTCATGTAGATATCACATTATGCTGATACGAGCTATAGCAGGAGAATGCATTATGCAGAAAACTGTCAGTTATTTTGTTAACTGTTAAATGTGCTACTGAGGTATCAAAGAGTGTTAATGCTGTATATCAATATAGCTTTGTCCCTTAATTTTAAATCATTGTGGTGGTTAAAAAATAAACCAGATTCCAGAGGAAATATGTAATAGAACAGTATGTAGCTCATATAGACCTTATTTGGTATTAGCTTATGTAAGTGGTTATATAATTAAGAATCCTAGTTAAGGCCTAAGTATGGTCAGAGATGAACCCTCTGTTCCTTGGTGAGGGCCTCTGCCAGAGCATTGGGAGTCAACCTTCCTGTCTTCCCGGAATGGGCCCGGGTAGACGTCAAGATTGACAAAGTCTAGCTGTGGTGAAATAGCTAGTGGCGGAGCTGATAAAGAGGAGTGAGCCAGAGGAGAGAGGGGAAGGACCATTAAAGGCTCTATTCTATTATAA